AAAAAAGTTCTTTTCTACAATTATTTGATGAAAAGTCAAAGAGGCAATAATGTTTTTGTCATCAACAGATAGTTACAGGTGGATAGCCCTTGTCAAAAATAACAATAATTTGTCAAACTGTGACGTACTTTGAATTTAAAAAGGAAAAAATACAGTAACACAGCAGAAGCTGAAAGAACTCACGCCAACAAAGGACGAGGAAAGTGGTTCCAGGAAGGTGATTTACACAGGCACTGGTTTGGAGTTACAGACGCAAATGTATGTTTTTGTAATTTGTAAACAAATTAATAATTCGAGGTTATGAGTTTCGAAATAGGTTCTATCATTCAACGATTCCTGGTGAATTTACCGTTTATCCTTGTCTATCTTATTGTCACTTTCTCTATTTATCCCTGATTACCCGAGCTTTAAATAATTACGAAGCAACAGGTATTTACGTAATCTTAATCAGGCAGATTACCTTGAAAAACATTGTTGCCGTTTTTACAATATAGTTTTCTGCAAATGTCTCAGTTTTTCATAACAATTAATTTTTTTTACTATTTTTCCTGTACTCCTAAAACACCACCAGACAACACCTCCAGAGGAATGAAGTCAATTTTGAATCACCCTGTAAGTGTGATTTATAAGCCAGTTCATTATAACACTATTCTGCTGGTTATGGTCGCTAGGTTTACTACTGGTTGGTAGTAATTGGGACTAATATGATGTTAAAATAATAAAGCCAAGATCAGCAAATTTACTATTGAATATTCAAGTAATTTATCAATTTTTTCTGGACACTGGATGACCAGTTGATTTAACCACCTTTGGACGGTTTTTCGACTTTCGCTCAATTAACTGGTCAGGGACGATTATTATTTTGATTTAAAATAAACAATAAAGATTAGAAACACATGACAATTGAAGGGTCCAATGCAATAACCGACTAAGTTCAAATTTTACGTAAAATGAGTTAGCAACACGTTATTATAGAGCTTGAAATGCTCCGTCGAATCGTGAAAGAATCAAGAGTCGTCTATATTCAGGTGGTAGGTTGCGTCGCTTCTTCGTGTGTTTTCGCGTCTTTTTCGTTGGTTTCAGTGTTTTCTTTCGTTCAGTTTGGTTTTTACATATTATTTATATTTTTTTAAACTGTTAAACTTACTTTAAAATTGTGTACATAAAAAACCCCAAACGAAAAATAACAAATTTACTTTGTGAAAAGATCGCATGTTATTGTATCAAAAGAGCGATTTGGGAACAATATTAAAATGTAGTGAGTCGGTTAGGGAGCCGATATTTCAAGAGTTCAAAAAACAAAGGAAAACTGCAAAAACTGTGCAAGAACCATTTTTTCAGTCCATTTTTCTTTAATTTTGAGCATATAAATACTGGTGAACGTTATATGGTTGCTTATTTTAGTTTCTTAACTTTTAAATCGTTTGGCTTACAAACGAATTGTTTTTTTTGCTTCCTAAAAAATAATCAACACTGGACTTGGGCGGTTATTCTATTGGACCATTCAATTAAATGATTCAATAATTTACCATTGCCTTCTCGTTTGGACTAATCGCAGTTGATGCAACGTTCATTGCACTTGAATCTTCTTCATCGTCAGACCTAATTAGGATTATCTGCTCACTCTCAATCGGATTTATATTATCTGCAGGCAGCTTCGGCTGTAAAAAATCAACTAATAACCAGATGGTCTTAGTGAGAATGCTGTATATTTTACCTTGATTGTTTTGCTTGCATCAGCCTCGGTTGGTGTAGCTGGCGATGGAATGTTATATTCATCATCATCATCATCATCATCAGGTATTTCAATTACTTCATTGGAGGCTGGGCGTCTGGGCCTAATTTGTAATATCTCATTTAATATCTTCGACTCAATGTTTCGTTCTTTCGCCGGCAAATCTTTAACTAGATTGAATACTCTCATTATTTTGTCAGAGACCGATTTTTCTAGCTTCTGAATTTTTGAATAGCACTGAGTTCGAATCGCTCCTTGAGACATTATTTCACTTTTGCTCTGGAAAAAATGCACAGTTAAAAACACAGGTGTTAATTATGAATCTACCGCAATGAAAAAAACTTGCAAATCTTTATCACTGGCGATTGAAAAGGCTTAATCTCAGACTTACAAGTTGCAAAATACTCTCGATGTCATACTGGTCGTCATTGGCCTCCACTCCAATCGCATCTGCCAAATCCTTAACTTTTTTATTTATAAAGTTGTGCGCTCTTTTCTCAAACAATGCCACTATCTCTTGTTTGGAAACTTTCAATTTTTCTCTACAAAATTTCTCTGTCAAGCCTCGGAAGTTGTAAGTGCCTAAGTAGCCGCATATCTGAGATAAAGGAGTGTTTGTTAGATTCGCATTATGCATGGCAAGGCAATTTAAAGTTTAACATTCTCTGCCAAGCAAACGCACTTACCGAATGCCCATTGAGTACGTCTGAATTAATCGGCTGGTATTCATTCAAATCCAGACTAATCAGAACGATAACTTGGATTTTAAAGGTTTCAGGAACCGCCAGTAACAACTGATTAAATCGCCTACAAGCAAAGCAAAATGGATAATAAACAAAGCCCTCCGACTATGCAAAAGACACATACTCCTGAAGAAAATCTCGAGCCTCGTCAGCGCTGTTAAACTGCAGCACCTTCCTTTCGAAAGGCCATGAAACCTCCAGTAGCGAGGATCCCTCCGGTTGGTAAGCCCCCAAATAGCCAAAATTGGGAATATTTGTTATGATGTACCTAAAACAACACCGAAAACATTAAGAACTACTCATTGTACCTACTTTCCTGACTGTGTTTCAATTCCAAATCAAAATCAAGTCATTTATTGTCTATTTATCAATTAAAATACGTTTCGGTGTTTTCCACCATCATCAGTTTCTCTAAAATAACAGATAGTAAAAAAAAATCACAGTTCGTCAACAGCTTCATCATATCACACACTAAAATACATCACAATTGCAACACTTTAAAACATTCTAAGATTAATTAGGCCTAACAGGTGATTAGTCTGGACAATCAAATTTGGGAAGAGACTAGAATTGTTTGTTCAGCTACTTAAATATTTTTACTTACATGTGTAGCGTTTTTGCTGCTTTAATCCTTGTATACATTTGGAGTATTAATTTTGTCCATTTTGGACACAAAGCGAATAAAATACTGTTTATATTGATTTCGTTTACTTTCAGCTATTTTTCGTTGCATTCTGAGGATATTATTTTTGGTTTGCAAAATTCTTCAATATACCGGGTGCTAGTTAATATTCTATGTTTATTTCATTTAATTAATG